TGGACTGAAGATAGATCGACGGATAGTCATTGGACAACCGATGCACTGCATCGCTCAAAAACGACTCCATTTCGCTTTACACGTGCAGTAACCCACTTGCGGCCACGCAAGCAGTCACTCTATCCCACCTCGTCGCACCACTCCCGTGCCGCACTCAGCCAACCGACGTGTCTACTCTGCCTTCGCCACGGCCGACGCCACCGACACCGCCGCTGCCGTCGTCTTCTTCGCCTTGCGCTCCCGCGCCGACTTGGCCTTTTCCTTGCGGGCGTCCGACTGCTCTTTCAGCGTCTTCTCGCGATGACGCTCCGCCTTCATCTTGTGGATCGTCTCCATGAGCACGCGCTTGTTCTTGAACTGGTTGCCCTTGCTGCGCATGTAGAGCTCGTGGTAAATGTGCTTGTCGATCTTCTTGGCCTCGCGGTACTTGCGCAGGAGGCGACGGAGCACGCGAATGCGCCGCATCCAAATCACTTTGAACGGCAGACGCGCGTTGGCCGTACCGTGGCGCTTGCCAATGCCCGTGTGGCGGCCCTTGCGCTTCGCTTCATTGCGCTTCGTGAACCGCGCGCGCGAGTGGATCACCTGCGGCTTCTTGATCACAAACCCGTCCTTCACGAGCTTGCGGATGTTCTGGCGCGAGTTGGCCAGCGCGATCTCGTTCGACTCGTTCGGGTCGAGCCAGATCTTGCGCTTGCCGCACTTGAGCACGGACGCCGCCAGACTAGCGCACAGATAGAGCGAGAGAGAGACAGAAAGAGAGAGAGAGAGAGAGAGAGAGAGAGAGAGAAGAACAAGTGGGTACAAGTGTCAGGCAACGGCGTCAAGAGGTCGTTGCAATAACGTGGACGACGCTCTTCGTCTAAACGTACCGCTTCTGGAGTTTCAACGACACCATCGGGGGGTTCTGCTCTGCACGTTGGCCCAATGAGGAGAGAGAAGTGAGGAGCTCCGAGCGCTCGGCGACGGGTGGAGGCGACAGCCATACAAATGACAAGCGAGTTGACCGCTGGCATACAAACGGCAAGAGAACGACCAGCTCCGGTTCGAACCGACGCAAGAGGAATGTGTGGCGAAGAGACCGCGACCGCACCGGTTCATTGACGGTCCTGAGAAAAAGTGACATGCACGGATAGTGACGAAGAGATGCGGTGCGCCACGACCGTTTGTCGCCATGGAGGTTCACATTCTCATGCGACAGACGGCTTCTTGGCGAGAGTGACACAAAAGGACGACCACTTCTTTCAGTTCTTTTTCAAGTGGTGCATTCGTAGTAGCTGACCACATCCACTTGTGTGTTTGTTGCCTCGAGCGTGACTTGTGGTCGATTTTCATGCCACATAAGCGATGAGGAGCACCATTTGCGCTCTTCGCATGCAACGCAGAAGAGCGTCACCAAAGACAAAGAGGCTCAGCACAACCGCTACTGCGGTCTACTGCGGTCTGCTGCAGCTTCTGTTGGCTGCGATGAAGGCTGCGGTGACGGCCTTGTTGTCAGATACTCGTATCCGCGTATTTTCATCAGAGTGTCGTGTTGTCGTGATTATCCACGCGTTCATTCTTGCCTCGATCGACTATAATCGATCGAAAACCAGAGTATTGCTTTGTAGAGTCTAGCTTACGTACGTAGTCCGTCAGCAAAGACATTGCCTTGCTTGTCTTCGTTGCTTAATCCGCCAAATTGTTCCTCGAAGCAACTCACTCAGGCGTGTACGTTGCCATACTCGAGCAGATTGATGCTTGACGTCGTAGCTCGTCGAAACCAGTTCATTCGGGTAGGCTTCTCTGATCTGCCGTCTGCAAGTCATTGAGAGGACATCCTGTCATTGCAAGTCGCGCTTCGATAGCAAGAAGCTTGTCCGAATGTGTTCGTACAAGTCATTGCCTTTTCCACACAGATGAGTCCTTCATAGCTCGGTCTGCAAGCGGTACATCTTCTGCGAAGGCACAGCGCAATTCGTCTTGCAATCGGAGATCAAATCACGCGCTATACCTATCTCCGTGCTCGTGATCTCTTCGCGTCACTTGGTTTGCAAGCTTTGTCGAAAGGCAAGTCCGGATATAAACTATGGTTGATTAGACAACAGAGGACAGGAGATCACAGATACCGATGCAAGTTCGACCCTGGGCAATCGGCACAGCAGACTTTGATCGTAGTGTTTGTCATGTTCCATGTGGCTTGTGCCATGGAAGACGCCAGGAATGTCCAAGAGCAGCACAGCTTATGCTTGCCGCTCTCGATCCGATACTCGAATACTCGAGATGCACGAACAGCAATACGTTGCTGTCCTGCCGTCGATCCATTTCAACAGCCGTGACGGCAAGGGCTTTGCACGTACTTTGACTAGAACAAGAAGCATCTTGAGTATCAGGGCTGTCTTGTAACTGTCTTGTGGCTGCCGCTCAAGTTGCTTGCTGCCGCTCAAGTTGCTTACTGCTTGACGGGGATATGCATGTTGCAGTGTGATGCAGAGCATTGCATTCTGATTGCCAAAGCGGTCATCAGGCCTCATGGCCGACAGTAGCGTATGTATACCATCAGTGCGACAACGGCCTCGACGTGGCACCACCGTGTCTACTTCCTTGTCACCCCTTTCGTTCTCCCTGTCTCTTGGCTGTGATAAACGAGCACCAACTAGTGACGGTCGATTGGGAATGGACGTGTGCTCTGACATGCTGACGCTTTGCTCAAGTTGTGCCGGATGGGTTTGCACCCTATGTTCACCTTGACGTTCGTAATCGAGTCGCCTCTTGTGTTGAAGGCAGTGTCAAGTGTTTAGTTGCTCTAGAGCTCAGAGCAGCGAACGCTATGGTGCCGTTCGTCAGATGTGGTGACATAATGATGTGCGATTGCGCGCTTGTAAGGAAAGATATTGCACGTCTAGTGAACAGCAGGAGGAGTCCGGCAATAGTGTACCGTGTTGGACAGTGTATGAGACCGTCGCAGTGATGTTTGGCTTCGCGATAGCAGGCCATCGGTCCAACGTTACGAATGCTACGACACTGCATTTGAAAATGACTGAACGTCCGCTGGGATCTTGAGGTTCCCGTCCACGGTGTCGTGTAGCTTACCAAAGGGGAACAGTGTCTATAAACGAGGGAGAACCTACACGGCCATTGAGTGCTTGTGACTATTTGATATCGATGTGCTTCTTCCTCGACTACTTCACTCTCCTCCTCGCTGGCTCTGTCTGCTCACTCGAGACGGCGGGCGCCACAGGGGACACTCGCACCGGGCACGTAAAGTCGGGCGCCCAGTCCGGGGTGCAGACAGGGTGCTGAAGTTGCGGTACATGCCACATACCACTCCGATCATTCCCGATGGACCGCTGACGCGCCTGGTCTATGCGATCAAATTACGTTCCACGCAAGCTCGCTTCGTGGACCGGGACATCAAGCTCGGTGACCGGGCCGGCGACTTACAGGCTGGCGTAGAATAGCAGGAACTAGAGGTGTGTGCGTGTGTGACAACTGTTGCTGCCGTGTCCCTCACCACGGGGTATCTTGGTTGTTGCTCCCTTTCGGTGTGCACGCTGCGCTCGCTCCCGTCGCGCACGCAGTGGCAAGAGTGCCTCCCATCTTCAGGCTGGACCCCAGGACAGATGACATCCCGCCCAGGAAAGGGGACCGGTTGCCCGGCTCTATGGAGGTCTTCGTCGCTTTGGCGTTGGTGTCCGGAGGCGCAAATGAAGAAGCGACGCTGTCGATAAACGAGCCTACTACAGAGAAACATGCAGTCGCATGGTGAGGTGAACGCGCGTCAGTGCGGCGTCACGCAATCAATTCACACTGCGTGCGTGGGCCTGTGACACGACTTGTTTCGCACGATACTGATCTTATTCATCGCGAACGCAACGCCCAGGAACTGGTGACGCGTCGGCTGCTCCACTATCGAAGAACTAGATTCATACAGCGTGGTTGCCGAGTCATGGCCACGTATTCCAAACAGGATAACTTCATGCGTGCGACGCTCTCGTGGACAAATGCGTTCATTTACAAAGTCAGGAAAGACGACCTCCTCACGACAGCAGTCGCGCTCGGCAAGTCTGAACGATCCGCAAGAGTTCAATGGGATGGAGGTATTCTGTACCCAGGCGAGGACTCAACAGACCGATGCTCTCGCCTTCTTTGAGGGGGATCCGGGATTTCTCATATGGCGCTGCTCATCTCAATGGAGACTACCACTTGTACTGAGCTGCCTCTTGCTTCGCGACCCTTAGCTCCGTGAAACTGGCGCGGGAGCAAGTAGACAGGCTGGACGAACGCATCAAACGCGATGTCTCAGGAGTGGTGCCTTTCCACTTTCGACTGATCATTGACAATAATTCTGTCGCAGACAACAGTTTATCGCAGCTTCGTGGTCAGCCTCGTCCACGTCGGGGCTCTGAGACCTCCCTGGCAGCCAATGCCTTCTTGTGTCGTAGCTTATGGTACTGTATGCTCTCGAGTAGAAGATCACAGGAGAAACGAGAGAAGGACAGAGCACGGGAGTAGCCCCTCGCTTTGTCCTATGCAATTGCCTGCATGCCTCAACGGCAGTCAGCAGAAGTGGGCAGCAGGGCAAAGAATCGGTTGGTCTCAGACCTCATTTGTTATCGACAAATCACGTTTCTTTGATCATCCAGGCCAAGCTCCTTCCAATATGTGACACTGTGTATCTCGTGCAGCCTCGTTTTGCCCATGTATCCTTTTCGTGAGACCTCACCGCACTTCGGTTCAAGCAGCCGGTGGGTGGCATAAACGATGCACTCTACGAATGGGTGAATTTGAGAAAGCTGGGCTGAGAGTCATTGTACACCGTTATGATCGAGACACAACAAGACTTGAGCTCTGTGGCTTACTACATCACACGTAGACGCACAAACTCGAGCGCGTGCAGTCTACCTTACGCCGTTCAAGCTTGCGTTATTGACGCCCGGCTGTGAAAGTGGCTGGACTCGAGCACCTCGCATCTTCCACGACCCACGCCCCTTCGCTACATCGGCCGAAGCACTCCATCGATGCGCATCCACGCCACCGAAATCGTGGCTGTCGTGGCTATCACCACGGGGATCCTGAGTGTATCAGATGCTTTCAGCTTCCCTACCACAGCCGTCGATGTCGGCGACACCGTGTTTGCCCGAATTCGCGACATCGATGATAAGGTCGACTGTCTCTCGCTCATTGAGCATGTGGGTGGATTTATCAAGTCCATCTTCAGCAAAGCCCACCCATCAATCCCTGTGCTGGACCGAACTCGCAAACTATATGAGAAGAACAAGTGGATTGGAATGAATGGTCCTGACAAAGTTCGTCGTGCCGAAGCGGAGGAGCTTACAAAGGAAAGCATGATGAAGTTTCGCGATCAAGGAGCTTCCCCTTCGCTAAAACACGTTGCAGACTTCGTTGAGAAATCGCCTGGAAGCGGGTTCGTGGCCGCGTATGCCGAAAGACTAAAACTGTCCAAACGTGAGCCGACCGCCACGTTCGGACGTACGATACTTGAGCACTTACCTCACGTCTGGCTTAAGAAGGGACTCTCTGCCGACGGTGTCTTCCACGAATTGCAGTTCGAATTCGGACGTCTCGATTTCATCAAACTGACGTTGCTCGAAGAATTCATCAAGCTCTCCAACGCGGAAAGATCTGGTGATGATACGCTGATGAAGACGCTATTGAAGTTCTATGGCGACTACGACTTGCATAACCTCCTGGCCAGCTATGTGACGAAGAGTGGGACCAAGAAAACCGCAAACCAACGGCTTCGGGAGTTGCGAGCGGACTGGGCAGAACGCAGCATCACCATTGATGATGTGGAGATGGGATGAAACTAATAGGTGCATGGTCGGCCTCAGATGGTCCTCTTTGTCAACTTCGAAGGTGTACGAGACACTGCTGCACGAGACAACTACAGGTAGAGATGTCACATAAGCAGCAACGTCTGGAGTAGTTGTCAGACAGGGGCTACCGTCGTAAAGTGACGATTTTGATGGCGGGCATGCGATGCTCGCATTTGAGGAAGCTCTTGCTAGCAGATAGCGTCTGAAGGTCAGAGTGTGTCGGGACGCGTTCCTGTTGCGTGAGAACAGAAGGAAGGTACGTCTGCCTATGTGCTTGATGTACGAAATTTGGATTTGATCATGTGAGAAGCTAACGGTGTGCGCCATTGTGTGAACTGATTGCCCGCTACATGTATGATGACAACAGCGCTGTCCAATGCCCTGTAAGTTCGATTACCACGTCCACGGCACGTAAATAGCAAAGTGAGATAGCGCTTACAAAGATGCATTCTGTTTATATAGTCCGAAACGCATTTGTCATCTCGTCATTTTGTAGATCAATGGTACCAATCTGCCACAGCTTTATCCCCACACTCCTTCCAGACCTACCATCGCAGCTGTAGCGGTCAACAAATCTCCGTTTGGTCCTCATCCTTGTTCTTCTCATCCCTTGCGTGATGGATCATAGCTCGTAATCACCGGCGTTCGAATCTGATATTGTGCATGCTATGATGTTTTTCTCCTCGATGTCGTGTGTCTAGATGGCCAGAGATTACCGCTGGACGTGTCAATTCTTTGACTCTTTCAAACGACGGCGAAATCGACGCTCGACTACGAACACTGCTATGACTCTTTTTCTCTTGTACAGAACGTCGAATTGGGGTCCATGCTCACAGATGTTCTAGCCGGAGGTTCACATGAGCTCTAGCATATCGTTTTCACGATTTTGAAGACTGCGGTCAAAAGGTACATCGTGAAGTATATCGGCTTTTAGCTTGAACAGCGACGTATTCTGTAACGGGGTAGTCCGTTTCATAAAAACTGTATTTAAGAAGAAATTGACAATAGAGAATATTACGTTGAATTTTCTTTCGACAGTATCACAAGCATGGTGATATTGTTGGGATGACCGAAGAGTCTACTCATTGGTTGATATCGCGATGATATCAACCCACCAATCGCTGCTAGACGCGCGCAATGGGTGGTGAGTAGACGTTTAGTAAGGACAAACAGCGATACAAGAGTTGTAGGACTTATTTATATTAATAACAGTTTTACTTTTCCTACGACTAGAGTCTTTTATCCTAGTCGTTCTATCTTCCTCTGTGTAGTTCTACACCTAGCTGGGCACTTACAATAACTACAGTCAGTGATAGTAAACTCCGTACTGGTTGACCAGTACGTAGTCGTCGGTGCCTCGTTACATATCCGACAAATTGTAACAGAAGCATTCGACCTCAAGTAAGCTGGTGCAGCCAACCGAAGCACTATCTCCTTGCTTTTATAGTGCTTGTCATTTATTCATCCTATGCTTGCAGCTTCGGTCGACTGCTTTTAATATTGCTTACAGCGCAATGGTGTCTGACATGAGACTACAGGCCAATGTACACAAGTGTTGTCACGACCGGGGGTCATACCTTGCTGCTCTCGCCGCTACGGTGGTCCTCAGCAAGACAAGTTTTAAAGCCATCGATGCACTTACCCTGCGAACGGTTGCCCGCGAAGACCAGCGTCGACGAGATGAACATGCACAAGTCACGACGAAGATACACCCGACAAAAGCATAGGGCCAAAAGAGGAGAGAAAATGGAAGGTAGTCGTGGTAGTGAACAGGCCAATTATTGTGGCAGACATTCAAGTCGAGACAAGCAGTAAGAAAAAGCGAATAGTTTTCTCCCATGCGCAACACGCTTTCGCGAAGACGCTTGTGCTGTCAATCGCGTATTGTCATGCAACGGCTGTTGCTGTTCGCGACCGAGCAAGCTAAGCCGTGAATCCAATCACTTGATCCGTCGAGTGGAATATGCCTGGATGGCTCTTCATTCTCCATTCTCGTCGTGCCTTACGACACATCTGTCTATTTTCTAACAGGGCACGCCCTTATGTCGGATCAACACAAGGTAGCGTGCGCCGACGTCGCGTACACGTGGCGTGAAGAAGCGCGACCAAGACAAAACAGAACTTGAAAGCTATGTCTTGAGGGAAAGTGCAACTGTTATTAAATAAATTATGTTTCTAGCTAGTCATCTTCCGTCTTAATCTAGCGGCAGACAATGTTTGAGATTTGCGAACGGCGGCCGTCTGTTTGACGCTAAGCCGGAGTGAATCCGCCCAAGGCAACGTCTTTTACGCGCATCCGCAAGTCCACGGGCTTCCGTAAAGTGTCCCGGACTGTATTGCAAACAAACACGTCCAGCGGGCATTAAAACCCCAACCATTTCGGTTGTTGAAAGGGTCAGGAATTGCACTCACTCTACCGGTGTCCAGGATCGAGGTGGCAGCGCGTACTAGCGCTTGGTAAGCGTAGGCATTATTACAGACACCAGTTTCTCTTTAGGCGCACGGCACCGAACTAACAGCGTACCAGGTATGGGTCTGCTATTGTAACGGGGCACGCCTTGTGTCGATTCAACACAAGGTTCTGCGCACCCGACGTCACGTACACGTGGCGTGAGGAAGCGCAGCGAAGTAGGCAGAGCTCGAAAGATCTGTACAAGGGAAATAGTAGAACTGTATTAAATATAGGTATGTTTCTTAGCAAACCATCAGCTAACTATATTAAACTACAATTTCCTATGTAGGTTTCTTGCTCACCACCCATTGCGCGCGTCCAGAAGCGATTGGTGATCAATCTGGTTGATGTACCGTGAAAATCAAGCATCATGTGAAGCATCACATCAAAGAAATATAACCCTCGATGTAAACTTCTTTCAACCTTACTCCTTATGAGTAATGTCAATTGAACATTATCTAAAAAATTAAGTTTAAAAATTGATACAAAAATATCAATTTTTATGTAACGGGCTCACCCCGTTACAGCCATCGAGTCTCGGTTCGGCAACTAAACCTATATTTTATGGGGAGGGGGCTTGACCCCTCTTGTCACAAGCTTCATTACTGTTGTGGGGTGACCGAGACGCTGAAACACATATTTTGCTCCTGCCTCTGTGCGCAGTCCTGTTGGCAGAAACTGATGTGCCGTTGGACGGGAGAACACTGGGCGCTGGATCAACTACACGGCTTTCATTATAATTATGTAAAGAGGTCGGCGCCGACGCTATCCAAGGTGGTCGAAGACCGATTAAGGCGGGATCATCCGGACGAAAATACGGAATATGCAAAGGTCTGGAGGAGAGGCTCTGGCGTCTGCTGAGCAGCATATGTGTAACTACGTTGTGGATTCAAGGGAACCGAGTCGTTTTTCAACGCGAGGAAGTCGCGCTCGCAGGAAGCGTCGAGGAATTTCAGCGAACCGGCATGGGGCATCTCCGGGCTGTATCAAAGCAAGATTTCCGCAGGACCGAGACAAAAGTTCAAGGAGCACGCCTGCTATTATGTCATCGACAAATCGCAAGGAAACCAAGAGAGCCGTCGCCAATGGTGACCAGCCCCGTACATCCACCGGACTCGAACGAGTCACCGGCGTTGCTAGCCAGGCTTCATTTCTATCAGACATCTTGTAAACAGTAAATAGTTAAAAAGACTCGTCTGCTTCTCTCTCACTTTCTTCTTAATCTAACTACATTAAACTACTATCTCATATGTGGGTCTTCTGTCCATTACCCATTGCACGCGTCTAACAGCGATTGGTGGTTAGTTTGGTTGATGTGCACGGCAGAAGTGGAGCACCCACAAATATTACACTTGGGGGCAATATTCCGACAATATCACTCTTCACGAGTCATGCAAATTCAATTACAGATGGCTTACAGTTAGAGGGACCACGGTTAAAGGACCAACACAGTTTTAAAACCGCATTTTACTGGACAAAAAACACATACAAATTTTAAGTGTATTTTTTCTATCGCACAGCTACTGGACAAAAGAACGTACTGACGCCAGCCACCCGTCTTATTCTCCTCACGCAAGGACAATTCGCAATTTCCGAACACCTCCGCAGACAAACACGACGTTCGAATGGCGCCCCGAACGCACCTTTCCTTCGTCCAGAAGAGAGCTCTACAGACACACCAGCGAGAGAACCCTGGACTCACGCAAGTCGATCTCTGTCGATGGGCGCTGGGAGAGTTTGGAGTCCGTGTTGCACGGTCCACGATCAGCAGGATTCTGAGCGAGGACATTTCTGTCACCCTCAATTCGAGAGCCAAACGGCAGCAGAAGGGCAGACATGCCGAGATGGAGAAAGCGCTGTTCCATTTCGTGATCGACACTCAAAGTAAAGTCACGTTGACCGACTTCATCCTTCACCAGAAGGCCAATCAACTGCTCGAGAACGCAGGTGTAACGACGACGCTCTCTTTTTCGTGGGTGTCGAGGTTCAAAGCCCGACACGGCATCAAGTCTTACCGACTGCATGGCGAGGCGACCTCAGTCGAGCTAGAGACCCTTCACCAGCGGCGCCAGGAACTCCTAACCCCTTCTCGACGGCTACGCGGCGTGCGATGTTTTCAATATGGATGAAACCGGTCTATTTTATTGCATGATGCCTTCGTGGGGTCTCGAAACGATGCCTTTGAGTGGCAAGAAGAAAGACAAGTCGCGCATTTCGATAGGGCTATGCTCCAATACTGATGGGACTGAGAAACTGGACCCTATCGTGATCAACAAGTCCCTCAACCCTCGTTGCTTCAAAGCCATCGACGTTTTCAAGCTACCCGTCCACTTCCATGCAAATGCAAATGCATGGATGACTGGCGGCATCTTTGCAAATTGGTTGAAAGCGTTCAATATCAAAATGAGTGGGCAAAAAGTTCTTCTGCTGCTCGACAACGCAACCTCACATGTCAATTTGGAGCTCTCAAACGTACACATTCACTTCCTTCCGCCAAATACCACCTACCATTTGCAGCCGACGGACGCGGGCATCA